AATTGATGGAGTACTGCCATGCAGTCCCGTAGCACAAGGACATTCCACTCAGATTACAGTTTTTCTGAGCACATTAGCTCTTCAAACCTCATTCTACGGGTATGATAACATATGATCGGCCATGGTGTTGGGATACCTGTAATGATGGTGATGATGATGATGTTACTATGATAATGATGACATCTGCTCTCGACCCCAGAGTAAGTGTCATTCTAACTTTTGCGGCCCAAGTGACCCTAGAGAAGACTAACTGGTGTTGGGATACCTGTGCGATTGTTACCCCCTGCAAAGGGGAATGATGGTCATGAGGATGATGATGATGGTTATGATAATGATGACATGATCAGCCATCCCAGTCCTGTCATTCTAACGTTTGCGGCCCAAATGACCCTAGAGCAGACTTACTCTTGTTGGGATACCTGTGCGATGGTTACCCCCTGCAAAGGGGAATGATGGTCATTAGGATGATGATGATGGTTATGATAATGATGACATGATCAGCCATCCCAGTCCTATCATTCTAACGTTTGCGGCCCAAATGACCCTAGAGCAGACTTACTCTTGTTGGGATACCTGTGCGATGGTTACCCCCTGCAAAGGGTCGAATGATGGTCATGATGATGATGACGATCATGATCATGATAATGATGACATGATCGGTCATACCATTCCTGTCATTCTAACTTTTGCGGCCCAAGCGACCCTAAAGCAGACTTACTCTTGTTGGGATACCTGTGTGATGGTTACCGCCTGCAAAGGGTCGAATGATGGTCATGATGATGATGACGATCATGATTATGATAATGATGACATGATCGGCCATCCCAGTGTCATTCTAACGTTTGCGGCCCAAATGACCCTAGAACAGACTTACTCTTGTTGGGATACCTGTGTGATGGTTACCCCCTGCAAAGGGGAATGATGGTCATGGGCCACATTGCAAGCATTTTGCCAACACGACCGAACAAATCCGCCATAACCGCCAACTCTCTCCAACACAAGAGAGCATGGAAATCAAGGCGTTTTCTCTTCGAATTCTCTGGGAGAAATAACCGAGTTCGGCCTCGGTGAGTGTACTTTGACTTCAACACTCCTGTTTGTAGCAATGGCTTTGGTTTTCTTCTCTTTTCGTCGTAATTTTTCCTCTTTGGAGTGGTTTACTTGTGTTGTCTGCGAGTCAAGCGCTTAGAGGAATCCTTTGTTTGAACGATCAAAGAGTGATTTTTGGTGGCGTCTCGTTCTTTGAAACCGTTCATTTGATGTTGTATGAGTGTTTTTTACTCGTGGTTTGTTAGTTTTTGCTCGAAGGTAGTGTTTTCTGTGAGAAACCCTTTGTACCWTCAAACAGACTTTACAAAAAGAAACTAGAATCAAACCAGGACTTTCGTAATAAGAGCACAACGCGTTGCTGTAACGTGCCATTCAACTCCAACGCTCTATTCTCTCTAAAACATCTTCTTATATTCCAGGTGGGAGTCGAAACTCCTTCTTTGGACATGGCGTCCCCTATTTCGTCTCCAGCACCACCTTTACATGTCCAACATTTGGAGAAAGCGCTACGACTTGAACCTTTCCTTGGGTTTGTTGAAGGAATTTTTTCCGACCCTTTCCTTTCGAACCTGAGGTGAGTCGATCTTCTTTTCTTTAGTAATGTTATTAAACATTTAAGCAAAGATCTCTGGGGTTTAGTGTCTGRTCCTATACCCCTGGGTGTTGCTAAGGGGTACAGATTGGGGTACCAAATTATTTAACTTCATAATTTTTTGTGAAAAGAACATTTTGGAATATTTTAAACTATTTTCAAGTTATAACCAGAATCTTCTTTACAAATATGTAGTGCATTCATTTCCCTATTTAGGAAGTTATGAATCATTTCTACTGATATTTCCCATATTAATTCTTTATGAGAAATTTCTCCATAGACCTAAAGTTTTAATCTTCCAAATCTGATTTATTGCATGTTTCCCAAATATRATTTATATATATGTATATGTAAATTGTAAACCTTTTCACTGGCACRCACTGGTTACCCCTCACGAAAGACAAAAAAAAAAAATTTATCGAAAGGCATGACAGAATTTTTGGATTTTTTTAAATCCATCATTGGATAGGTTATAAACACTGATGTGTGAAAAATTATATTGAAGTTTGATCACAAACTAAGATTGGGCCATAAAACAGGTTTTTTCGTATGGAGCACACTCAAAAATGCCTTTTCTCTGTGGGAAAATCCATTTATTGGTGCTTGTACTGTAGTCAAAAAGTTTCACATCATTAATGCTAGATAGATATATAAAGCACTCAAATGGTTTTCTCCACAAAATGCTATATGCATGCCAATATATAACTTTGTTGGCTTTTCCCCCATGGTTTTTCCAAGGGAAAACCATTTGCTTGCTTGGTTAAGAAACAATGAACTTGTAAGATGCTAGATAGATCTGTGACACTTAATTGGTCTCGCTTGCTTGGCTTTTCATGGAGAAAGCCATTTGCTTGTCTAAGAATCAGAAAACACAGTAGAATTCTAGACACATATGAAGCATTTGATTTTTTCTGGAGAAAGCCTTTGTACTTTAAAGAGTACAGTAAAATTTATGATAGATACAAAAAGCATTAAAATGGCTTTTTTAATGGCTTTTTTAAATATTTATTTTTTTACTTTTATTTTTATTTTTAAAGATACTTTTCATTTTGTTCCAACACTTACATATGACTGGTCAAGACAACCAACTTTAACAGGATTGGAGAACTTAGACGTTCTAAAGCTAGATACTAATAATAATTATCTTGTTTATATTATCCATTATTTATTTTAGTGACTCAGAAAATAGTGATCTTAGTGATCTGGAAAAAGATTTAGCGTTTAAACCTGAAAATACTGGCTTTGTTAATGGTGATGGGTGTCATGTTACATCAAATGGATTATTGCATAAAGAAGGCAAGTACCAAAGATATACTAATACAGTACTTACAGTAGAAATAATATAGATAGATCATATAAGAATTGTGTGGCTGAGTGAGATTTCAAAAGAATTTCACATCACTTTGCAAAGTTTGACATTGTTGCCCAAATGAATTCAGTAATAAAAGCAATCAAAAAATAATTTCAGGGTCTTGTGAAAAAGCCTAAAACAGATCCCTAAAACCACAGGAATACAACCAATTTTCTTGTTTATTTTTAGATTTCAATATTGACAAATCAAGGCTGTACAATTTTACGAAAGTAAAGAATGAGCGCRGATGGTTAAAGGTAAGAAAATGCATATCATGTTATGTAAAGAGATCTATCATGATAATTTTTCAGATTCGCGAATCTGAATATAAAATTTAATACGTATGAAACTCTGTTAACTGGAGTGAGAAAGGTTTGTATAAAATGTATAAAATAATATAGAAACTTCTTACAGCAAAGTAAAAAAAATTACAGATATATCTGAAAAAGTAAGTTTGTTGCATTCGTTTTAGTCCTTCATCCAGCCTGAATCTATCTAACCTTCTGTCAATCTATCATTTATGCAYGCGTGCATCTTTCTGTTTAATTCACCCATACTTTCCATTTAWCCATCAATATTCTAGCTATTAAACTATTCTATCATTGTTTTTCTCMCTCAAAAATCAACTTCTAAATTCCAATTTGATCTTGGGCTTTCACCTAGCATGGATCTGAGGGTTCGTTCGTGATTGTCCCACTCTGTGATTACAGCCAAAACCGGTAGATTTTTATTTGTTTATTAAACATATTTTGTTTATTATTAAATTTTGAATGTAGGATGTCTTGTTGAGTGACAGTTCTGAAAGTTCTGATGAAGATGAACCCATTACTGATGAAGAACTACAGAGGATGCTTTGGTTCCACAAAAAGCAAAAGTCAGCTCAACGAAAATTCTTTCAGGATCAGGATGTAAGTGGGTTAGGGGCTTGGTGCTTGGTTGAACATCTGCAATGAAAGTACTTTGTTGATACCATTATTTTCTCTATTGTCATTGATGTTGTCATCATTACCACCATCATCATCATTGTCATCATCACCATTACCACCATCATCATCATTGTCATCATTACCATCACCACCATCATCATCATTGTCATCATTATCATCACCATGATCATCATTGTCATCATTACCATCACTATCATCATTGTCATCATTACCATCACCACCATCATCATCATTGTCATCATCACCATTACCACCATCATCATAATTGTCATCATCACCATTACCACCATCATCATCATTGTCATCATCACCATTACCACCATCATCATAATTGTCATCATTACCATCACCACCATCATCATCATTGTCATCATCACCATTACCACCATCAYCATCATCATCATAGTTGTCATTAYCATCMMYACCATCATCAGCATAATGCCGTTGTAGTCATTCAAGGGCAGAACCAGTAAAAAAGTGGGATCCAAGTAGTCTTGTCAGTAAAAATTTCAAGTAAAGCAAGGGCAAAACAACTTCAAGTACAGCAAGGGCAACCCTCTTTAGAAAAGAATCCCTCATAAAGGGGGGAACAGGCCATTTAGCCACCCCCCCCAAACCCACCCCTGATACCTTTTGTGATACACTTTTTATATCCATAATTTTGTGGTAAATAGCAGCTGGCATGCTATCAGCATTAYGGCACCAGCCTATTGTCCAGCCAGGATAAGTACCATGACTTCCAGAGACAATTTGCTGGCTCAAWGAAACTCAAGAAAAAGAAGCTGAAGGACAGTAAGTTTTCTCTAAATCTCTCTAAATATTGTAACCAATTTTTATTTTTATTTATACATGATAGACTTTGATTCCTAATGAGGTGATCAATTGGTTTTCAATTTTCTTGTTCTTTTCCAGGTAACATGAAGGTGATTAGTGGAAAAAAAGAAAAAGTGAAAATCAAGAAAAAGAAAAAGACTGATGAACAGGTACATTTATAATCCAAGGAAGTGGTTGGGAACGGTTTCCCATTTTAAGAATTTTTAATAAAATGAAAATATCATATTTTTTTAATGTTTCTAGAGAGGAGACCTCACAAACCTTTAAAAAAAATTTTAATATATTTATCAAACCCTTGACTACCTCAGGTCATGGCTAACTCACATATRWAACCTKGAAACAACTTCTGGACTGATYTAAGTCAGGGSTTGAYTAATTTACAGATGGAACCCTGAAAGTACCACTGGGTTGATATAAAACAGGGTAGGCCTAACTCACAGAATCAAGGGAAAGACCTATGAAACGCCACTCATGCAATGCTGAGTCCAGGAATCCAACCTGAGACTCAGAGGTAAGAGGTGAGTGTACTACCACTACACCACCCTTGATTCCCTCCACCTCTAARACACAATATCAAGAGCTCCTTCATCTTGGTTTCCTTTATCTTAATAACAGATAGATGAACAGAAACGACTATCCCTTCAAGAGAAAATTCTCAAGAAAACTCTCATACGAAGAAAAGAAGCTGATGCCAAAAGAAGGAAGATCTGGTCTCACATCTGTAGAAAAGAAATTCCAAGGGTAACATTAATCTCACTCATGATATGCTTTTTTATGTTCCAACTATTTAAATTAGAATACAAATAACTCAGGAGAAAAGCTTGGAGCAAGTAAAAATATCCTGCGATATTTGTACTCTAGGTTATTTTGTACAGTAAAAAAAAACATTTTGAAAACTAGTTCTAAAAATCATTTACAATGAGTGCTTTTTTCTCAAACTCTGGATTTCTTGAACTTTCTATTATTGTGAACTTGTCCCATGACTTTTGCCACTCATTTTGGATTATCACAAACCCCTATTATTGGAGGTTCAAGATAACGGGGCTCCACTGTATCCAAAAAGAATGTATTGATTTATTTATAATCCTGCTTTAATTTGATTTATTTCTATTTTTTATAGGCCCAGAGGCAAAAGGCGTCTGCTAGGAATAACATGCTTAGYAATGCAAAGAAGGTAATTATAGTTTTGAATAATTATTATTAATATACCATCACGTGAGATGGGTATTTTACATGTGGTAAGATACATTACGTGTGGAAAGATACCAAATTTCTCGGTGGCCAAAATTCCTGTCAAACACTGTAGTTTAGCTTTTATGTTTCCACGTGAACACAAGGCTAGTCAGTCCCTAGTCAGTGCAGAACAAAAGTTATTCAAATTGGTCCCCATATTTCGATTCGGTGTATACTGTAGTAAGTGGACAATTTGCACTCAATAAAAATAAGAATATTCCCTTTTCTCATTCAGTAAAGACAACTGTGTTTTATGACTAAAGACTCATTTGTACAGGCTTGTTTTAACAGCAAATCATTTGCAAATGTTGATTTTAATGTAAAGAATCTGCAAGTTGAACAATAACAATGTTTTGAAATCCTTTGTATGGTAACTTAAATAACCTACAAACAAGGCGGAGCCTGCGCAAATGAGTCTTGTTCCTCTCTTTTACTCCGACGAAGGACTAGCGTCCGAAGTTTACGTCAGTAAGTTTTTTCATTTTTTCATCTTTTCACGTAAAATTTACCTTTTTATCATTCTTGTCCTAAAATATAACTGTATGCATCGAATGTGAAACTGGCGTATTTGTTATATTATTATTATTATT